GTACAACAAGCATATAGAACACCAAATAGATCAGACCAGAAAAGAAGGTACCATTACCACAAAATAATCAAAACGCCAAATAGAAGAAAGAAAGAATACAAAATCTTGTACTTTATCTTTATTGAAAAATCAGGATCTGTTGTGGTAGGATAGCTGGCTCTTGTGGTGATATATTTTCTTCGATGGCATTGTTCGTACTCATAAGATGGCATCTAGGTATCTGCTTGTGGGGTGATTATACATCTACTTACTGGTCTGTGGGTTTGTCTTGGTTGGATATGAGCTTTGTTCCGTTGTTTCTGCTTCCTTCAGAGATTTTCAGAGAGTTTGTTGGCTTAGTGTTGCCTATTTTACTGTTCTCTCTAGCTAGTGTGTTAATGGGCAAGGCTTGCCTGTGTCAGTGGCTGGTTAACAGGAAGCCAGGGGTGATGGTCTGAGAGATCCACAGGAGACCTGTACCTGGCTGAAATAAAGCTGCCACTGTAATTCTGTTGCAATATTAGGGGAAACCCAGAAAAATACCTCTGATGTAATAGAGAAAATGAGAAGGTCTACATACAAACTACCTGATCTTCTCTCAGGTGTGGCCTGTGTTTGAGCAGGGTGTTTTTCTTCTATGTATATTTACAAAAGCTTCAAAATACAACATTTTATAACACGTGTTTTGTTAAAACGGATAGAAACAATTGGAGTATTCGAATATTTCTATGCATGAAACTAAACAACACTGTTCAGCAAAATCAAAGAAGAAATGCAAAGCGAAACAGAATGTACATCTTACAATGCAGAGTCTCATAATTGAGAAGTATATCATTTTTCAGTTTGTTCTGTTGGCTCAATTTAGTTAAAAGAAAACTGAATATATTCTAGTGTAATATAAACGGATATGCGTAGAAGGAGGTTCTAAGCCTCTATTTAGTAAAATTTGCAAATTTTTTAAAGAAATGAATATTTTCTAGAGCATCATATTTCTGATAAATACTACAACCTTGAGAGAATTGGAAAGTCAAATCTTACAGAAATTAGTAAACCTAGCAGAAAATGTGCCCTTCGAAACTCAACACATTGAATCATAAACCTGAAAGTGATATTTTTGATATGTAGAGAATTTTAGTGATAAGGTTTTCATGTTGTATCTGCCTTCCTTGATATTATAAGTGCTTTTTGCTACCTTTTATGTTGGAGATTATAATACAATTACGTCATTTCACCATTACTTATCCTTCTTACTAAATTTTGTTCTCTTTCAAATCTATTTCCTTCTTTTCAATTAATTTGTGTTACATACAACTATTTCCTAAATAATCATATATTTCTAAATACAACTGAGTCAGTCTTTATCACATTACTTACATGTTTTCAGGGAGGACTATTTTGTTATCCAAAGGAAATTAGTTGGTATGCTCTTCTCTAGGCATGACAACATATGGAATGGAAATATTCAAGTATACAACCCATCACTAAGGACAATAAATACACAGCAACAACAAATTTAGTGGTGTCATCCAGCAACACATAAGAAAATGTTTGTGATGATGTTATTGTAACCATATTTGCTATGCATCAGAGTACAAATAACAGCAATATAGCTTGATTTAGATTTAAAATGCACTCATTGCAAGGGACCCTGCAAGCATCATTTCAGGAAGATAAACAATACACAAAGAGATCAGAATGAAAAGTCATTCCAGCCTGATGTATTAGGTCTGGATCAGTCTTTGAAAGCCTGATGCCATTTGATTCCTTGTAAGCATATTTCAACCCAATACAATTTGGAAAGTTTCCAGACAATAATCATTCCAATTACAAGTACACAATAAAGCATAGGGGCTCACTACATGTAGACTTAAAAACATAGAATATAATGTGGTTTCTGACTGAGATAGCTTACAGGAAAGCAAGCCATAAAATACATATGCCATCTATCCTAATGTGAGATTCTACTGACAGGGAGCTAAAGATAAATCTCTATGGAAGAAGAGTCTTGGATAATCATTCTGAAGAGTTGCAAGAGGTCTGGATATACAGATATAAAATTGTCACCAGGTTGCTAATAACATCCACTCCCAGCTTTCTGGATAGAATGCTGGCATTTTATTTCCTTTATTGAGGAGACAAATCATGAGTATTGAACATTTCTTACTTACCTAGTATACTGTTGGCACAAGGACCTTTCAGCCTCCATCAAATAATGACATTAAGCAAATATGTTATTGATTTACACAATTATTTTAATATATCTGTTCTCATTTCATAGTTGTGCTGGATACTTTTACATCAATTTGACCCAAGCTACAGTCATCAGAGAGTTGGGAACCTCAATTGAAAAAAAAAATGCCTCCATAAGACTGGACTATAGGAAAGCCTACAGAGAATTTTCTTAATTGGCCATTGATTGGGGAGGGCACAGTGCATTGTGGGTGTTGTTATCCCTGGTTTTGTGGTCCTGGGTTCTATAAGAAAATAGGCTGACATCAATGGGAAGAGAGGCCCATGGTCTTGTGGCATTCCCCAGTGTAGGGGAATGCCAGGGCAGTGAGGTGGGAGTGGGTGGGTGGGAGGAGGTGCTCCTCATAGAAGCATGGGGAGGGGGAGGGGAGAGGGAAGTTCCTGAGGGAAAACTTGGAAAGGGAATAACATTTAAAATGTAAATAAATAAAATATCCAATAAAAAAGAAACTAGGCGGAGCAAGCTATAGGTAGCAAATCAGCAATCAGCAATATCTACGGCCTCTGTGTCAGCTCCTGCCTCCAGGTTCCTCTCTTGTTGGAGTTCCTGCCCTTACTTCCTTTAATAGTAGACTATGATGTGAAAATGTAAAACAAATAAAGCCTTCTCTACTGCAATGTGCTTTTGGTCATGATGTTTCACTGCAGCAGAAACCCTAACTAAGACACTAGTGTACTCGTTATAAAAATAGTGAGAAACTAGTATGTCATGTTGTGATTCTATGCATTTTTTTTATTTTTCCAAAGGAATATATTTATCCATGGGACCAATTTCATCCAGGATTGTGTAAGGGCAGCCCATTTTGTCAGATAAATGATTGTCTCATGAGGATTCATTTTTTTCACTGTCACACAATGTTTGATGAAGATGAACAACAAACAGCATGAGGCCAATATACTTTCACTGATGAACTCTACAACACGACTAAGAAAAGGCACCCGAGAAACTACAAGGAACAAGGCAGCAGTATGCAGAGCTCAGGACCAGCCTGATCCACATCACAGGACTGATTCAAATTCTTCCTCACAAGATAAAGTTATGGATTTTAAAGTTGTGGATTTCATGGGTCGTTTCCAGAAAATGTGAAGAAGAAACCATTTATGAACTTGCCGTTTATGTAATTTGTAAGACATACAGAATTAGCAAGAGAAGAAGATAGATATTCCTAGGTGAAATATCACAAAATCTCTTAACAGATTATAACAAATAATGAAAATATAATATAGAATAATCAAGTGAGGCTTACATCCAAAGTTCAAGGCCGATTCAACACTTTTTAACATCGATTCATTCCATTCATCTCATCCATACCTGAAAAGGGAAAGAGGACACTTTAACACACAGAGAAACCCCAATTACATAAGAGCAACACTCCGTCATGTCACAAACTCCAAAATGAAACTAGACATAGAAGACATTTTCTTTAGCCCTTTCTTGAAGGGTTTACATAAAGCATGTCCCATAATGACTAGAAACTCAATTCTTTCCCTATGCAACCAAACAAAATTGTATAAGTGAAAGACTAGACACAAATGTGAAATTCAGAATGGAAATCCTGGGGATAGATGGAGAGTGAGCTCATCAGTCTATTTCTGACAATGGTATAAAAGAGTATAGTAATCACAGAGCAATTGCTTTCAAGAAATGATGATGGGACATGAAGCACCCGTGTAAAACTGTGAGCCTCCGCAATGATATGGCACAGGTACTCAAAATGAGCCGAATGCAAATGCGGTTGTTGGTGACATCTCAGAGCTAACAACACGTTGATTCATCAAACATGAACATCGTGAATTAGACTTCTTTAAACTATTCTTTATGTATAGTTCAAAATTGAGTCTATAAAAGACAAGTTTTAACCTTGGAGTATATACACTTTCATAACATATTTACAATAAAAGAACATCAATATATAGAGTGTTCAAAAACACAATCAAATAAAAAGAAAACTCACTGAAGAAAGGAATTTGGGAAAACTAATGTAATTATCCAAGTTCCCATTCATTGGGTATCAGAAATCTTGTTTTAGATTGATATACCCAACATTCTTTCTACTATCAGCAAGTGACAATGTAGGAGCTTTTTCCCCCATAAAAAGCAAAATGAGAGCTATGTAACAATCTAGTCGGAGGTTAAAGTCAGATTACACTTTTTCTCAGATATATGTTACTATTTCATGTCTCTAGTGTGTGCTTAACTGTCTTAGATTCCCATTCTAGTTTTGTAACTTACTATAGCAGATCAAGCTGGGCTGGAACATGTTCATTCATCTAATGTTTTTTAGAATCATTTTTTTCTTCTCTGAAACAAAATAGGGAAATTTTTATAACATTTTAAACCGTTAGATAGAAACTGAGGGCCCCTCATTCTGTTTATAATTGTTTTTGTACTAAACCGGAGCATCGTCTGCCCTCTGGTGGTCCGCACGTTGAACAACAGTTTCTTTGAAATCTGCTGGAGGAAGGAATTTCAGCGTGTTCTATGAATGAGTCCCTCTGGTGGCAATGATTAGAACAGCAGCTAAGAACTTTTGAAAAAAAAAAAAAAGTTCACTTCTCTTAATCAAGAGTGAGAAGCCCAGGTTCCGGCTCCCGCGGCTCTAAAGCGCGCGATGCCACTGCCCGGAGGTCCCGGCTTCCGCGTCCCAGGATCGGCCCCTGCCCGGCCCGGGCCTCCGCTCCGCTCCCGTCCTAGCCGCGTCCCGCCGAGCCCGCTGCCAACCGAGCCGCCAGCGACTCCCGCACAGCCGCGGGGGCCCGGGCGGGGGGCCATGCCGTGCCGAAGGGAGGAGGAGGAGGAAGCCCGCGATGAGGCGGAGGGGGAGGAGGACAACAGCTTTCTCCTGCTGCAGCAGTCGGTGACTCTGGGCGGCTCGGCCGACGTGGACCGGCTCATCGCCCAGATCGGCGAGACGCTGCAGCTGGACGCGGCGCAGGATGGCCAGGCCTCGCCATGTGCTGCCCCGGGCCCCCCGCCCGCGTTTCCGCGGGTCCTGGAGGCGCTGCCGGCGGACAAGGCCCGGGCCCCAGCGAGGCGGCTGTTGCGGCCGGCGGCCTCGGCGGAGGCCGGGGACCCCGCGCCCCCGGGGGCCATGCGCTGTGTGCTGGGGGAGCGCGGGCGCGTGAGGGGTCGGGCGGCGCCCTACTGCGTGGCGGAGATCGCCCCGGGCGCCAGCGCGCTTCCCCAGCAGCCCAGCCTTGAGGGATCCCCGGGGTCGGGCAAACTAAGCATCCCGCAGCCTTTGTCCGGCCGGTGCCGGCGGAGTTGGCTCCGGAATGCAGCTGCGTCCCGCCGCATGCAACAGCGACGCGGGTCTCAGCCCGAGACCCGCACTGGCGATGACGACCCGCCCCGGCTCCTGCAGCAGCTCGTGCTCTCCGGTAACCTCATCAAGGAGGCGGTGCGGAGACTTCATTCGCGACGGCTACAGCTTCACTCAAAGCTTCCCGCACACCGGTTCCTCGGGCCTCTGTCAGCCCCGGTGCCTGAGCAGCCTTTGCCCGGGAGCCCACGCGAGGCCTGCAGCGACCCTGGCACTTGGGAAGGAGGGCACAGCTCAGAACTGGGGACGACCTTCTTGTCCCTGGCAGCTGATAACCTAGGTGGCCACAGCACCAACCTGTAGCCGGGAGACCAAGAGATTCACCCAGGGCTTCACGCAGCTGGTGGAGGAAAAGAAGCTAAGGAAGACAGCAAGTATTTTCATGGGTAACTGAAGTTGAGAGCCCCAAACTGTTTGAAACCCAGGACTTAGGTTTGTTTAAAGCATATTCTATAGAGCGCACCGCAGGCTGTCAGCAGGACTCCTTTTTTGGCATGATTCGACTTAGTCGCTGCAATTCCGCGCGCAGACTCTCCTGGCCAAGCGGGCGACCATGTGGCCACGATGCATGCTCTCAGGATTGGCTCAGCCCAGCTATGGAAGGAAGGACGATGATCCTTGTTACTTGCTGTAGTTTGCAGGGCTGGGTCCTGATCCACTTTGTGGGAGGGGGAAACAAGAGTGGACGTGAACATTTTACATTTTACGACAGTTTAAAGACCATCTCATCTTTTGCGGTGCTGGTTTCAATGTAAAACGTGCTATACCACAAGAGGACACTATTGGGACTGAATAGAAGTAACCGTTTTTTTTGTCTGTTCCTTTTTTCAAAGGGTTGCTGTTAGCAGAGTGTTGAGGGAAAGCTGTACCCCATGAGTGTAAGGTGGGAGGCGGCAGTGAGCAGTGTTGGGTGACGGAAGAGTATGGCGAAGCACGGGAGTGACCCCTCCTGCCTTCATAAAATGTGTGTTTAAAGGAGTCCCATCCCTCTTTGTGTTCAGGGTCTCTGTTTCTTGGATGTGCATCGTGCCGTGGGGCTCCAGCACGGAGACTAACCGAATTACCTTGCTGGGAGAAGAGCGTACTGTTTTGTAAATGTTAGAGTTCTGTAAGGACATTCCACCACCTCTCTCAGAGGGGTTGAGGGTGCCTAGTGCTGAGTGTCTGAACTTCCAGACCGAGTCCACCGCCCCTGCCCCTCCTCCTGGCTTGCAGACAAACTGCCCAGTATCACCTTTCCCCCTTGGTTCTGCTGCCCTGGGGTGGCGCTGATGATGCTAGGGGCCAGAGTAGGGGACTAGGAAAGTTACACATAATGGGCAGTCCTGGGACACAGTCTCACACAACCGTGCATAATGGGCTTTCGGGGCCATTTGTAATAACAGCTGCAGTTCCCTGGATAGACAGAGTTGATTTCCTCCTTGATCCTCCCCCAGCTGTGCCAGCTCGCGTTTGTAAGTGAAGGAAACCTAGTTAAAAAAAAAAATGTGACCCTCCAGATGGGAAATTTGCAGGCTTTTGCTATTGTGACTGTAAAGTGCTTGGAAATACTGTTCACTCTAAGCGACTGTTTCGTTTTAGTTTTATGGAGTCAATGGCTTGTTCAGCATCCTGATGTGGCTATTGACATTTCTATTCTTCGCACCGGAGTGACTGAAATTGTGGTACTTGATTTGTTTATCCTGCCACACTCCATCACTGAGATTGGTACTCCATTTGTTCATCCTGCCACACTCCATCACTGAGACTGGTACTCCATTTGTTCATCCTGCCACACTCCATCACGGAGATTGGTACTCCATTTGCTCGTCCTTTAACATGGACTGAAGGTCAGTATCTCACCTGGAATCCTCCAGGCTTTTAGATTCAGACTGGAATTGCCAAATCATCCTACCTCATGGACTTGAGCTACTGGTCTTTCATTCTGTTTATGCAAATAACCCATTGTTGAGCTATTCGGAATACCCTGTAAATCAATAGAATAAATTCCCTTTGTAATATTTGTTCGTTCTATCAGTTTCAGCCCTCTAAAAATTTTAATGTAAATTGCATGCGGTTTTAGAGAAAAAAATGAATTACTCAAGAAGGCGTAGTGGTATCTACAACTGTCTCTCTAACTTGACTAAACTAAATTTTAAAACGACTCACCCGGTAAGAAGGAGTACACTGCACATGCTCAGTGTGAGCTATGTCAGGTCTATGCAAAATCATGTATTTCAGTGATTCACCTCTTGTGAAGAACAAAGAATTTAGTGACTTTGAATAGAAAATTTTTGTGTGTTTGAAAATAATAAGGGACATAATGAGGCTGGCTCTGTACATCTAGTATTTATGGGTAAAGTGGGGTAAATGAGCTCAGAAAATCCAATTTCTTGGCTCCAGAGGAAGACAAATGGCCTAAATATTCCTCTGTGTTCTCCATAAAACAGAGTGCTTTACACCAGTTATAGGGATTAAAATGCCAAAAGCCGAGTGCAAGTCAGCATCCTAAGATTAATTAGTACATCACCAAATACATCTCAAGCTCAACTTACATTGGCAGCTAAAGTGAGGCCCTGACTGGAAAAGAGGAAGATTCTGTATATTAGGAGGGAGTTGTGTGGGAGAATCCTATATAGGCAGTAAAACACTCAGATTACTTAGCAGTGGATGCATCCCCACCTTTACTTCCTGAAACCTTTCTTACCTGTTATTTTCTTAGTGAACTAACCTTCTCTTGTCTGTGGAACTGACAATGACCTTTGTTGAAAGAAATGGCAAGCAACACAAAGATGTTGTAGCCGAGTGCTCACCTTTCTTTGCTTCTAGATGGATAATCATTCTGAAGGCCAAGCAGATCATTGGAGGAAAGGGGTACAGTATGGTCCAGGAGGTTGCACTATACTTCTAAGGAACTTAATGAATCTTCTAAGTTATTCAATTGGAAGTCCTGTAAATACGTGTGAACATTGATTTTAGTGGTATGGGATAATGAAAAAAGGAAAAATGTAAGCTAGATCAGGCTAAGTATTAGCATGGGCCTAATGTATAGTCTAGATTTGTTATTTTCAATGATTTTTTTTAAAGTCTCAATGGTTTATTTGATTATTTGGCTGGGTGTTTGTCACACGGTAATGTACTCTGAGTTTGAAATGCGCAACATTCCTTGGCTCACTGTTCATGAATGAATTGATGCATAGTCAAACAACTTGGGATGGATCTCAAGGGGAAGCTCCAAGGCCTGACACTATTTCTGATGCTGTGGTGTGCTCACAGACAGGAGCCTAGCATGGCTGCCCTCTGAGAGGTCCAACAAGCAGCTGACTGAGACAGATGCAGATATTTACACCCAACCATTGGACTGAAGTCGGGGACCCCTGTGGTTGAATTAGGGAAAGACTTGAAGAAGCTGAGGGGGAGGGCAACCCCATAGGAAGACCAGCAGTCTCAACTAACTCTGGACCCCTGAGATCTCTATGACACTGAGTCACCAACCAGACAGCATATATTAGCTGCTCCAAGGCCTCTGATACATATACAGCAGAGGACTGCCTGGTCTGGCCTTAGTGGGAGAAGATGTACCCAAATGAGGCCCCGGGGGGTAGGGAGGCCTGGCAGAAAGGGAGGTGGGGACATCTTCTTGGAGACAGGGGAAAGGAGGAATGGGATGAAGAACTGTGGGAGGGTGGACCTGGAGGTGGGTAATGACTGGACTGTAAAAAACTAAAATAAAATAAAATAAAATAAAAGTAATAAAAATAAAAGAATACTGTATGCAGCAGCAGGGGATGTGGGTGGGGTTAACCTCTAGAAAGTCCCAAAGACCTGTGATCTGGGAGGCTTCCAAGACTCAATGGGGATGACCTTAGCCTAAATACCCAACAGTGGGGAGATGGAACCTGAAGATCCTGCCACCAGTAGATAGACAGTGCCCCCAGTGGAGGGATAGGACCACCCACTACCTTCAAAATTTTTGACCCAGAATTGTTCCTGTATAAAAGAAATGGAGGGACAAAAGTGGAGCAGAGACTGAAGGAAAGGCCGTCCAGTGACCAGCCCAAATTGAAATCCATCTCTTGGTCAGGCAGCAAACCTGCACTATTACTGACACCATGCTGTGCTTGCAGACAGGAGCCTAGCCTCCTCGGAGAGGTTCTACCAGCAGTTGACTGAGACAGATGCTAACCATTAGATGAGGTCAGGGACCCCTACGGAAGAGATGAAATGGATCAAAGTAGCTGAAGGGGATGGCACCCACATAAGAACAATGACATCAAGTAACCTGGAACCCCGCAGAGCTCCCAGAGACTAAGTCACCAACCAAAAAGCATACTTTGGCTGGTCCGTGGCACCTGACATGTGTAGCAGAGGAATGCCTAGTCTGGCCTCAATGGAGAAGATGTGCCTAATACTCTAGAGACTTGATGCCCCAGGGAAGGAGGATGTTGAGGGGTTAGATAGGGGTGTGTATGGGGGGGGGGGGGGAAGCACCTTCTCAGAGCCAAAGGGGAGGAGTTATGGGCTGAATAATTATGGGAGGGATACCAGGAAAGGAAACAACATTTGGAATGTAAATAAATAAAACAATTTAATTTTTAAAAGAATACTAGGATAGTTTTACCATGTAAAGCATAACCCTTCTATAATGGAGGGGACCAGAAGACTTTTCCTTAGCTAATACTGTAAGGAACTGGTATATGAGAAGACCACAAATATACTTGAGACTTTCCCACAGTGCTCAGGGAAGCAAAGGGTGAAATTGCCTGTCTTCAATGTAATAGGTTAAATTGAATCCCACACTGGAAAGGTCTATGTGTCACCACCAGATTACAAATTCAAGGTGTGAATATTCACCTTAAAGGACAGTATAGCCAAAGCAATGTTCATAAGGGCTATGTCTGGCTAATGAATCAAAATGTTTTCAAAGGTTAGAGAGCTAGGAAGCCTACTAAATCCTTGCTCTGTCTGTATAAGCAGAAAAGTTAGAGCACAAATGAACAAAAGGATACTTAGAATCATAGTGACCTCCAAATTTGATCAGTTATTAACCCAAGGCACCAGGGATTCAGGAGAGACTAAGATCCTTTAAGGAAGGAACTTACTGTAGTATCAAAAGATTTTTAAGTCAATCTTTCTCCTGCCCTTCACACAAAGAACTATGACCTTCTACTAGCGCAACTCTAAATTGGTGGGAATGAGTTAAGCACACCTTTCAAAATCCACTAAACATTGTTTCTGAGTAGACACTGTCTCCTGAGGATCCCAGGCATCATTACAAACCAAAGGTAAAGTGGAGGCTTATAGACTTCAAGTAATCCTTGGAGTTGGTTGTGTGTGTGTGTGTGTGTGTGTGTGTGTACAAGTGCGTGTACCTGTGCTTTGCTTTTTACATTAAATTTTATTTTACTTTGTGTAGGCTTTTTATTATGTGTGCCTGTGTACCACACATGCACGCAGTGCGGATAGGACTGAAATGACAGATGGTTGT